CTTGGTTTGTGTATTTTTTTTTTCTGGAGAGGTTTTTGCTATAGGGCACGTGCGCTCGCCAGACAGACAGAGACAGAGAGACAGAAAGCGAGAAATCACCCCCCAGGGAGGATGGTCACGCCGCAATCCCTTCTCCTCCATTCTCCTCTCAGGATCTTGGGCACGCACACACATGCGCCCAGCGTGAGTTTTAAGCCACCGGGTCCGGGACGCGAACCGCGGTCGACTACGTGGGAGTCCAGCGACATAGCCATTACGCTAACTGCTGGTTCCCGGTTTGTGTATTCTATGAGTCAAAAAAACAGGGTCTTGATACCGAAATCCACTTCGGCCTCAGTCAGCTCCAGACCCTCGGCACAGGAGGTCCTGGACAAGAACACGCATGCCCAGGAGGCCGCAGTGCATTGTGAGTGAGCACTGTCAGGAGTGAATCCATCTCTCTCTGTCTCTCTCCTCTCTGGCGAGTGTACATATCCTATTGCTAAATTAGAAAATGATTTAATAAAACTAGCTGATGTGTACACAAGTATAACCTAGGTACCTGGAGAACTTTTTGTTGTTTTATTTTTAACATTTATTTATTTATCTATTTATTTGTTGTGATTTTCAAGCCACTGGGTCTGGAACCTGAACCATGGTCAGCCATGTGGAAATCAGTGCCTCAGCCACCACACCATCCGCTGGTCCCTGGAAAACTGTTTTAAGCAAGACCAGAAACCCAAAAGCTATGAAGGAAAAGACATGTGACTACACCAATCTTCAACCATTTTGCTCCGATAGACCTCAAAGTCAAAAGACAAACGATAGAGTAAGAAGGTAATTTGTCATCTCTGTGGCAGGTGAAGGGTTAATATCTATAAAAAGAGCTGGAAATTGATAAGCAAAAAACAGCCCCAAAATAGAGGGAAAATTAGAAACAAGCAGTTTACAGAAGAACAAACCCAAACCTGCAGCACACAGATGCACATATATTAGGGGGGGGGGGTGTGTGCTCACGCACGTGACAGGAGGGGCTCAGAAAAAGTCAAAGGCAATCTTCCCTCGCCCTCATCAGCTTGGCACCGCTGGAAAAAGTGCACCAGCAGCTTGCTGGTGGGTGTGGTCTGGCCTGTGGCCCTTAGGAGAAAATGAGGATCACAAAACAATGGCACGGGAAGGCCATGCAGGGATCCTCAAGTGCTCTGCCTGACTGCGTGGAGGAGCCCCGCCTCAGCAGCCTGAGAGTGAGTCCCGTGGCCGCGCTTTTCCAGATCCCGTGTGCTCCATATGGAGGGAGAGTGTGAACAGGAGACGTAGGTGGTGGGTATCCAAAATAGCAGCAAGACTGCCTGCGTGTACTTGCGGCCACGAGGTATGCAGAGGTGCGGGTGCAGGCAGGGCGCCCTGATCCTGACTGTCCTTGTGGGTGGCTGTGGGTGATGTCTGTACTGCCCATACTTCTTCTTTTTTTTAATTTTTTTTTTGAGAGTTTTTCGCTATAGGGCGCGTGCGCTCGCCAGAAAAACAGAGAGAGACATAGAGACAGAAAGCGAGAAATCACTCCCCAGGGGGGATGGCCACGCCGCAATCCCTTCTCCTCCATTCTCCTCTCGGGATCTTGGGCACGCACGCACACGCGCTCGGCTTGAGTTTTAAGCCACCGGGTCCGGGACACGAACCGCGGTCGACTACGTGGGAGTCCAGCGACATAGCCATTACGCTAACTGCTGGTTCCCCCCATACTTCTCAAAATCACGGTTGCCCTCACTGACAGAGCAGCTCGCTAAGAACTGTTGGGGCATGTGGGCTGCAGGCACCAACAACCATCAGCACTCCCCCCCTTTTTCACTTGTTACAGGGCACATGTGCTAACCGGGAAGAGAGAGAATGAGAAAGCACCCCACAGGGGGAACGACCATGCCGCAATCCCTTCTCCATTCCCCTCTCAGGATTTTGGGTACACACCCACATGAGCCTGCGTGTTTTTCCAGCTGCATGGTCTGAGACCTGAATCATGTTGTTGGGGATCCAGCGCCTTAACCACACCACCTGGCTGTTTGCACTTTGACCAACACCTGTGTAGTAAGGCTCTGAGGACCTGGTTTCCATTTCACTTCCGTGTCAGACAGGGTCCCCACAGAAAACAGGTGGCTGGCCTCAATTAGTGCGATTGGCTGGTTTCATGGAGAATTATGCCGTGGGGGGAGGAACCACAGGGGCCTTTAGTCCTTCAGGGCCTGGGGAGTCTCATGCGGAGGGGATGGCTGAGAGGAGTAGCAACCTGGGAAGCCCAACCCGCTCTCCTCTCTATTGCTGGGGTTCTGACCAAAATAAGGTGCACAAATGTATCTCTTTTTTCTAAAAAAAAAAAAAAAAAAAAAAAAAATTATTAATTTAACTTATAAATTTATTTTCATTTGACTAGAAAAAGACAGACACAGGTAGAAGTGAGAAAGCAAGCCACCAGGTCTGGGACTCGAACTGTGGTCTGCCATGTGAGAGTGTCCAGTGCCTTAACCACCACACCACCTGCTGGCCCCACAAATATATCTTGAATATCACATTGACGTGCTTATGCTAAAGCAGTTCTGTCATTTATCTGAAACTCAGATTGCACTGTGTGCCATGTATTTTTATTTGCTCAGTCTGGCAAACCTACATTGGAGCAATGCAGCCAAAGCCAAGCCTGTGCAAGGCCAAGGTGCGCCCAGAGAGCACCTAGCGGGCCTCACCCCATTTGTGATCCACGTTTCTCAAGGCACAGGCAGCGTTAGCTAAATGGCTTCCTGTGTCCCTTCCCTTCCAGGTGAGTCCCCCTTCTGGGGCTGTGACCTCAGCCTGCCTGGCCTCTGGCCCAGAGGGTGCTGGCTGTCCCAACACTGGAGGGAAAGGGTGCTGCTCACAGCTCCTCTGCAGCAATTAGCTGCAGGCGGGTGCTTGGTGATGGCTGTTCTTGGTCTGCACGACCTGACAGTTTAGAGGTTCCAGAGACAAAGAAACTGAAACTCTTGAAGTTCAACCCGGCTGAAGTTACAATAGCCAGGATCAGAAAGCTGCGAGTCCACCTCCGGCTCGAAGTGCTGCTGAAGTGGTGATGGCTCTGCCCTTGGCCTCGGCCTCACTTTCTGGTCCCAGAGAAGTGCAGTTGGATTGTTTTGCTCCTATTTGTAGATAATGCAGGCTCTTAGGGGAACAAACATCACTCACAGCCACCCAGGAGGACTGGCAGGGTCGGGGCGCCGCGCCTGCACACCACACAGCCACAGGTACAAGCAGGCACTCTTCCATGGGTGCCAGAGCTGGCGTGTACGCTGCTGATCCGGACACGCCCCTCCTCCCCCACCCAGACCACATGTTGATGCTTTCCTCCCACATGGAGCACACAGGGTCTGTAAACACGGGGCCATGGGACTCAGACTGCTGGTGCTGGTCTCCTCCACGTTGTCCTCATTCAGGCTCTGCCCTGGAGGTGGCATTCTGGCGGGGTCTCAGACCCCAGGCAAAGAGCCTGTCCCATTAGTACTTTTGTTCCTCACCCCCACCTCCAGCTCTCCCTCAGCCCAAGGCTGTCCACGTTTTCCTCTTGTGGGGCACATGGAGATCTCAAGGCAGAACGGGTCCTAAGTCCACGTTGCCCCAGCTCCCTGCCTACCACCGGCCCCAGGCACTCACCTGGTGGAGTCTCCAGAGAGTTCTTTAGCTGTGGTTTGGTTGAGTTCTGCCTGGTTACCTGTGTCCAGCCAGGTACCGAGTTTTGAAAGCACCTCGCTGATCAGAGCCACAGGCCGCATGCAAACCCTAGAGACTCTGGAGCCAGTCCAGGGCACTGAGTGGGCACATGGTGCCCATCCTGAGATGCCATTCAGCAGCTCCTCTGCCCTCGCTCCTGTAACTGATCGCTTATCCGTTTCATGTGTGGCGTGGCCTGAACTGATGCCAGCCAGGAAGAACAGCTTCAGGCTAGAGACCCTGCTCGGTATCTGAGGATGCAGGAATGGGGCACTGGGGCTGGAAACTAGACAGACCCTGCCCTCAGGGAGGCAGATGGCAGCATTCTGAGGGCCTCTTTACAGGCCTCCAAGTTGTGTGACAATGTGGGGGTTCTGAGGGGGGCAATCCAAAGGCAAGACCCTTGGCATTTCTGCAGCCCCAGTGTCTCCAAGGGAGAGACCACCCCAACTCACAAGCCAGAGGCTCTCACAGGGCAGCAGCTTCAGAAATGATTGACTCCTGGAAGGTTTCTGGGAGGGAAGGAGCCTTGGGGACACAGACAAACACTGTTCTGCTCCTGTTCCTGCCCTCTGCCAGGTGATCCACCAAGAAGACCCCTGCCAGATGTGGCCCCCAAACATGAGAGTAAGCCTCTCTTCTCAGAAGTCACGGCAGACTAGAACAGCACCCAGGGCATGCTTCCAGGAGTCAATCACTTGGACACTTCCCAGCAGCCCACCTTGCACACCGTGGTGGTAGGTATTAAGTTTCCTCTTACAACCTTCACAACCAAATCTTAACACATGAATTTGGGGACACATGCCGTAGCAGAAGCCACCTAGAAATGGTGACTTACAGGGACCTGGGGTGTGTGAGGACTCCTCAGACCACGATCTAGGCTCTCCAGTGGTGACACTCGCACGCCCCAAGGAACCCTAGCTGCTAAGGGCACCTAAGCTACATCCTGGCCCTGAGGGCAGACCCACCGACCCCCCTGCCATAGAGAATTCAACTTTCAACATGTGTCTGCTTGAGATGCCCTCTGCCTTGTTTTACCATGGGGCTGAGAGGACAGTGGCTTTTGTGTGACCTGCCTATAGCTAGTATGAACATCAGTCAGCTTGGCAATGACAGATGTCTTGAGTTTGCTGGGCATGTGTTTAGTGTGACTTGGTGTCTGTGAACCCAACCACCTCTGGGGACATTCACTGCTGGCCCCACTGACCAGATCACCCAGTTGTCACCAGCCTGACCCTGTAATAGACACCTCAAAAATACTGCAGATGATAGGTCTCCAACAGCAAGCGGGCCACATATCTTGGGGTCATCCCCCGATGCTTTATTTTGAAACATGTCAAACCATGGAAAATGTATAAGAACAGTAGGATGGACACCCCTCTCCTGAAAGTCAGGCACGGAGATGGCAAAGTTTCACCCCAAAACTCCCAAGCACAGAGCACCGCGTGTCATGCAGCCTCCTCCAGCACCTCAGCGCACCTTCCCTGCACGGTGAGGTCTTTGGCAAGTGTTTAAATTGGTTAGAAACAAAAACACAAAGTGGAACTGGAGCACATCACAGACCTTGGACCAGAAGTGGCCAGTGAGGTGCTGGAAGAGACGCCACTGTGCGAGCTGATGGTCGCACAGCTTGAGGAGCAGGAAGCCCAGGCAGGACAGCACACCCAGCACTAGGTAGGTGGTGGAGGAGGCACTGCCGTAGCGTGCGTACACACGCAGGCTCTGCCCTCAGGCTGCTGCCACATGAACCCCCAGCGTGACCTCGAACCCATAGGGGTGCAGCAGAGCAAGGCTGTAGCTGGCCAGGGAGAGACACTCGATGGAGAGGAACAAGCAGGGCTTCCAGCCCCTGTCTAGGTAGAGGCACCAGGCCACTGGCCATGCAAAGATGGGCAAGGTGACCCACTGGTCAAGCACGGCAATGGGGTGCGTTTGCGTGGCGATCCGTAGCCACTGAATGGGGCCGTACAGTAGGGCCATGGCGGCAAAGACGTCCTTCAGGTACCGAGCCCTCCGTGCCTCGGCCAGGCGTCCCAGGGCGCTGGTGTCTGTCCGCAGCCAGTATAGCCCCAGGAACACATAGGCCAGGTTGATGAGCGAGTTGAAGGGCATGGCTAGCAAGGCAGGGAGGCTGGCTACTGGCATCTCTGCATAGTGCTCGTAGCCCACTTGGACAAAGACACCTTCAAATACGCCAGCATAGACGACAACGACACACAGGCTGCCAGCTGCCGCCACATGGAAGAGGGCCTGCCTTGACTCTGGCTTCATCAGGAACCCTTGGCACGCCTGGGCAGAGAGCTTCAAAGAGCGGCAGCCTTTGCCATGCGTTCGGAATTCAGATAAACAGCTTTTTGCAAAACACTCGCTGGCCTTCCAGCTGAGCTGGCGGGAAGGTGGCCGGTGATTTCCGCTGTTGATGCTGCGACCTCGCTGGGGAGCGGCAGTGGTGGACGGAGGAAAGCAGGAGTCCTGCTGACTGGCTGGAATGAACAAAAGGCCTTTCTGCCTGTTCCCTTTGTGGTTACAAAGAGTGAGGTTAGAAAATACATCCCCCAAACAGCCTCCATCTTCCTGGCTCTAAGCCTCAGGGTCCATCAACAGTTTTTAGCAGAAGAAAGAAGCAAAGGTGAACCAGTGCTCACAATACGTTCAACTCCTTAGGGCCTCTAGAAGCCTCCACTGCTGAGGGGTTTTGTGCTTTGGTCCTGCTCCCTTAAAGCCGCTGTGTTTGGAGACTTAGCTTTTCTAGGTCTGTCACCATGGCAGATGGACAGGCTCCCCACGTCAGCCCTTCTAACCCAATACCCAGCTGAGCTAGAGACAGCTCGTGGTCATCTGAGTTCTGGTATCTGAGACAAGGGACAGCAAAGCTCTTGAGGAAGAAGACGAACTATCTACTCTGCTCTTTGGAGGTCTGGCTGGGAGGCACAGGAACCCAACACCAGGGCCTTGCAGGCCTAATACCCTGGTTTATCCTTCTGCACTCC